CATTGTTCAAAATGCATTCACTTAGACATTGCCTAGAATATTAAAAAAACTGTAATATAAAATAAAGAAGTGTTGTATAGATTACCTTAAATGTTTTGTGTTGTAAAGAAATGATTCGCGCTTACAGATTTTGAGCGAAGCTTGGAAGTTTTCTCTAAAGCATACGTCACAACCAAGGCTACGTCACAAGTGTTGCATTATTTATGACGCTTGTCTCGTGCGTAAATTTTTATCGTCAAGGTAGTTGCATATTCTACCAGAGCTTTGTCGACATTCAAATTCCACCTACTTCTGACGTTTTAAGCTATATCACTTGTACAGAAAAACTGAAAGACATTTTAATAAATTTACAACATTTAATATTTCACTGGCTTTTAAGCCGGTGATACAATGACGATTTTTGCATAATCAAAAAATTTTTAAAATCCAATAAAGTTATTCTTATATTCTGCTATTAATCTAATAACTTATACCACAGGAGTTAATCTTAATTATGAATAACAGACAACCTACAAAAAGATTCCACTGCCTTAAATGAACAGCTGGGTATTCTCATTGTTAGCAGTGTTTTCGGCCTTTATCCTAAGTACAACTGACAGGATTTGGTCTGCTTGGTGAATTACTAAAAAACTAAAACACGAAAATTCTTCTATTAATGTTTAATTATAGGTTTGACCTAAGGTGGTTTAAATGAAATAAGTTTATTTCTCTACCGCAGTATAAGGTGAATATGATAGTTACAATGAATTTACATGCTTATAATAAGTGTAATGTATTAAATGTAAAAGTCACGAGATAGTTGATTTCTTGATTAAAATTCCGTTTTTTCTCTGCTCTAAAAGAAATCGATTTCAAATAATTATAGCATGTTTCATGTAGACGTCTTCTGTCTTTTTATTTTTTGTGAAAATGTTTCGCCCTGATACAGAATCATTGTCGGACGCGACGATGGACGCCGTTGGTTTACTATTTTTGGGGAAACATCACTTTTCACATTCCTTTCTATACTGTTAATGGTCTTGAATAGTAGGTGTGGGAAGTTTGAAACCTACTATTTCATCTCTGCGTTGGGTAACCCTATACAGTTCAATATATATTTTCTGTAAGGGTTTATCCTTGTACGGGACAAGCCCGAAACGTCGTCCCAAAACCGAATAAAAAGAGCAAGATAAATCTATATAAATACAACTGAAAGAAGAATATCCATAAAAGTTTCCTCGAGCACAAAACTTCAAGTTATTGTCAGAAGAAACTTCGAAATGAAAGCCCTTTGTGGAGAGTAAATCCTTTGACAGTAAAAAAGTAAAATTTAGTAGACCGGCCGTCTCTCAATATCAGTAAGGTTGTATTGTTCTTAAGTCATTTTAGTTTATGTTTTATTTTGTTTGTTTGTAATTAAGCACAAAGCTACACAATGGGCTATCAGTGCTCTGCCCACTACGGGTATCGAAACCCGGATTCTAGCGTTGTAAGTCCGCAGACATACCGCTGTGCCAATCGAGGGCATTATGTTTTATAACCTCCTTCCAAACGGTGTAAGTCCGGCTTTTTAGAATATTTCTGTTCTTAACAATTAAAATTATTTAAATAATCGGGCAATTGTACAACGATATAATAACATTCTAATGCTCGAGTTCGAATCCCGTCACCGATCACGCTCCCCGTTTTAGCCATGGGAGCGTTATAAGATGATGGCCAATTCCAAAATTCGTTGGTATAGAGTAGCCCAAGAGTTGGCGGTGGTTATTGTTTACTAGATGTTCCTCCTCTAGCCTCTAGTCTATCACTTCTAAGCTAGGGACGGCTAGCGTTGACAGCCCTCAAGTAGCTTTACGCGAATTTCAACAAAACAACAAGCCACTATCGATAAACAGAATAGAACTAGATATATAATGAAGTGGTTGATGGTTAGATATCAAATCATAACACTAACTTATTAAAACTTGAAGTAATTTGACATTCAGTAAGGAATAGTTTAAATGTTTGAGATTTATATAAGTTTTCATTGGTTTCTTACACTGCATAATGTTTTTTTTCTTCTAACAACTGCATTTTCTGGATCACTTTGTCTAGAATAGTCATTTAAAGTAAAATACTTGCTTATATGTATGTAACCTTTATATCTTCTATCTCTGTCTTTAACAGCATCTGAATAATTTATCTGTATTATAATCGTTACCAAAATGTCTTATTTTCAAAACTTCATAATACTTTGAAATTTAAATGTTTAGTGAGGAACCTACTGAACTAAATAATTAATTCAAAAATACAATAATATCAACTTTTACAGTTCTTATTTTAATGATTACAACGTTTCGACTAGTAGTATCGAATCATCAGCAGGTAAGAGTTACATTTACAAAGACAGTTGAATTTCACAGAACGTTACAGACTTGTGATGATGAGGTCACGTTTGAAAATGGCGTTAAATTAGTTTTTTTAGTCAAATAAGGCAGATAAAATATTAATACAAATAAAGGGAAAGAGTTTCCTGGATATTTATTTATTTAGTGTTGGTTTTAATGACTTTATCAGTAGTGCTTCAGTTGGTTTTCTTCTGTTGATGTATGGTTCTCTTCGGATGATTTCGACGTTGTTTTCAGTGATAACGTGTTTTGTTTCTTTGAGGTGTTCAAACACATGTGAGGGTCCTTGAAGACGTTTCTTAACTCTGAAGTTCATCTCTCTCTCTCGGTTCATCCTATATATATAAGTGTTTATGTGAGTTGCATTTGACTTTGTAGATGCTTCTGTTGTATATGATTTAAGTGAGGTAATTGTTAGGTTCTTGATACCTAGTTTTTATATGATTATTGTATTTATGTCGATCTTTTTTTTCTTCATGAGTCGTTTCCATAATAGGTTTTCGCAGATGTGTTTGACATAAGGAATTGTAGTGGTGATAAAGTTGTTCTCATCTTTAAAATTTGTACATTTTGTTTGTTTGACGTTTTTTTTTGCGTGTTTTCGGTGTATTGATGTTTTTAATTTCTGCCGGATAGTTGTTTTTTTTTTGGATGAAGATTTCATAAATTCTCTGTAGTTCATCGTCTAACTTGGTTACAGAGCATATATTAAACGCCATTTGCATCATACAATTCAAGGTTCCTTGTTGCTTTTCTATGAATTTTAGTCTCATTAAAATCAGAAATTGCCTACTATAAAAGTTGCTGTTATTGTATTTTTGAATTAATTACTCTGAACATTTCCTTTCTTTCAATACCGGATATTGTTTATAATAGAATATTGTTATTATAATTATATGTCAAGTTTATAAATGTTATTCTCTTTCTGTCTTGATCCATACACTCATGTAACCTACTATTTATTTAACAGAATATTAGTTTATTACATTAGTCTTCAGTTAAAAACATTGTTTATTATAATTCTTAAGTTTGTTTAACGCTATTACAGCTTCGTCAGGAGCTTGTTTGTTTGTTTGTTTTTAAATTTCGCGCAAAGCTACACGAGGGCTATCTGCGCTAGCCGTCCCTAATTTAGCAATGTAAGACTAGAGGAAAGGCAACTAGTCATTACCACCCACCGCCAACTCTTGGGCTACTCTTTTACCAACGAATAGTGGGATTGACCGTCACATTATAACTCCCCCACGGCTGAAAGGGCGAGCATGTTTGGTGTGACGGGGATTCGAACCCGCGACCCTTAGATTGCGAGTCGAGCGCCCTAACCACCTGGCCATGCCGGGCCTCCGTCAGGAGCTATCGATATCCTACCAGTTCACTAAATATTCGCGAAATATTGAGCTGATAAAGTTACATTCTGGAGATATTGGTCGTCATTTTATTTACGATTATTGTTAATTAAATATATATTTATATTCTTATCGTAAGGTGCTCTGATATTCTCGAAAAACCTCTTCGATAGCGGCGTGCGACATAGGAGGTGTGAGATAGAGATGTTATAATGTTTCTCATATTCGAAACTGGACAAAGGCCAGTAAAATAAATTTAGTTTTACTAAGAATTATAATCAGTCTTATTGTGATTCAATGGCACACAAACAATTGATCTATATGTCATAAGGCGTTATATGCATAATACTGTTTTCCTCGTCTAATCTCAATCTATGCACTCATTCAGCTGATCATTTTCTAAATGTTGTTAAACCGTATACTGTAATGTCCTTGATAAAGGTGTAAGCGGAAACGTTGGATAGTAAATAATATTATTCTACCTTGAATTACTGGTCATCTTTTCGCACATACATTCAAGGACTGAAAGAAAAAGTAATTAATACATTTTTGGCTTGCTTTCCATACAGGATTTCCCTGTAAACATTGTAGCTCTTCTTGTGTATATCATTGTACATAATGAAACAGATTTTTACTTATGGATGGTATGAACAGCTAGATTTTATTCGTTTTGATAAATCTGAAATAGAAGAATGTCTGAACACATAACATTCTGCATTTGATCATTTCTCTCTATATATAAATAAAACCTAAAAAAATAACATAAAAGTATTGAAATAAACAAATTACAATGAAGAATTCTTGAAACGGGTATATCTTTGAAATCTACCATCAAGCAATTTTGATTACTTAATATATTGGGATAACTTCAAAAGTTTAGCTGTAAAATAAACATATGCCCCAGTAGTGGGCAAAGCATGAATAGCCCATTGTGTAGCTTTGCATTTAACAACAAAAAAGAACAACAACAAAATAAACACATATCTGGTACCATGACGCGGTTTTTAAAACTAGATTACTATTATCTTATAGATATGCAGTTGAAAAATGTTATCCTTGTATTTTTAACCCGAACTGCTCTTTATATGACAGATCGGCTAAACAGTCAGATCAGGGACCTTGAGGTTCAACCATAGTCATACCTAAATTAGAATTTCTGACCAGTAAAAGAGCAACTATAGTCAGCACGGCTACGCGATTACTCTTCACCGAATTACAGGATTGACTGCTACAGTTATAACGTTCCTATAGTTGAAAGTGCAAGGCGTATTCAGTATTGCATATCACAGCTCAAACTTCGGAACTTCAGGTAAGCAGTCCGACACGCTAACCAATAAGCCTCGTTTTATCAATTCATTTAGAAATAAATTTGGTTTTAAAATATTCAAATAAGATCCAAAACTAGTTTTTTTTTTAAACTGAGGGTTATCAGTGGTGTTACCTACGTCACTAAAAGCTTGAGTTAAACGAAGTTGTTTACATTTTTTTACTGTAATTTAATTTAATGGCCAGTATCTAGAGTAAGCAGTTAGAATGAAGATCATTTCTATTTGTTTTGTTTTCGGATATTCCAGTAAAATTATTTAAGGATTATCTGTGCTGGAAGTCCCTAATTTTGAGACAACACTGAGGGTATTTTTCGATTTAGAGAAGGCATTTAATACAGTACCGCATCAAATATCATTACATAACATTATATTAATTTTAATAAGTATTATGAAAATCGTTATAAAAATAATATTTAAAACGTGAAAGAAATGTACAAAAACAATACAGTTTTGTTATAAGACAGAAGAAAAGGTAGTTAGTCAACATTATCCATCGGTAACTCTTATAGCTCTAAAGTGCGGAGCGTGATGATTTTATTTTTTGTGTTAACGGAACACGAGCAATGGTCCCATAGTTTGACATGTTAATATCTGAACCACGTTTAGCCCAGCTTAATTTGAAATAAATGAATTCAGTCTCAAAGCTTTATTGCATTAGTTTAGAAATTGAGCATGGCGACAAGTGTAATAAATAAGTGACACAGAAATGTGTGTGCGTGTAATAAATAAGTGACACAAACAGTTATGTGTATATAATGAATTAGTGCTACCAAACTGTCATAGTTGGTTTATATTTTGTTTTAAAATTAACTTACTTTTAATTAGAATATTAATGTGTAGATAAAATATTGGTAATAACTATGGAAACAGCTGTTTGTAGAATACACAAGTTTACACTACTTGGGTTCTTAAGCGAATTAAAAACTGTATTAAGAGGTAATAGAATTAAACATGTAATCAATTTTGGTGATGTAAACATTGATTTCTAGATAAAACAAATGATTTTGATAAATATATGGATTTAATGACTGTGTTTTGTTTTGAAGCATATATAAATGAAGCAACTATAGAGGTAAAGCAGTCAATTTCATGTTTTCATCACGTATTTTTAAGAGAAATTGAAGATCAAAAGTCATTTGTAGCCATTATAAAAATATGAATAACGGGTTATTACCCTAGAGCATTGAATGTAAATTTTGATAGAAAACCATAAAATGATGTAGATAGATGATAATTTTATGAAAAAAATAGATTATACAATTTTAAAACAAAATTTAAATAAACCAATATATATGTTTGTTATGGATTTCGCGCAAAGATACACGAGGGCTATCTGCGCTAGCCGTCCCTAATTTTGCAATGCAAAACTAGAGGGCTACTCTTTTGCCAACGAATAATGGGATTATAACGCCCCCACGGCTGAAAGGGCGAGCATGTTTGGTGGGACAGGGATTCGAACCCGCGACCCTCAGATTGCGAGTCGAGCGCCCTAACCACCTGGCTATGCTGGGCCTATATATTTGAACAAATGTATATGAAATATTTGCAGAAATATTAATTAAAGAAATAAATAAAAATCAAGCTAATACATAAAATGTTATAAAGCGAATTAATTTAAGAACTATGGATCACTAATGAAATAACAGAATTGAAAAAGCTAGAAAATATAATGTATTAAAAGTATGAAAAACATAATTCTAATTAATATTATGAAGTTCGTTTCAAAGATTGTAGAAATAAAATTTTAAAAAGCTATGAATAAAAAATAATCTCAATAAAAAGTAATTCTTAGAATATCTTTGTTTGTAATTAAGCACGATGGGATATCTGTGCTCTTCCCATCACGGGTATCGAAACCCGGTTTTTGGCGTTGTAAATACGCAGACATACCGCTGTGTCCTTTGGAGGTTAGAAATATATACAAACAACATAATTTTGTTAATAGGCTAACGGATAATGACAATCTGGAGATAATATTACACGGTTGCGTAGATGGTAAAAGAAGAAATGATAATAATTAATTACAAATTTTCAGCAAATAAATTTGATAACAGAGTCGTCAATCCAATCAGAAATTGTTACATCCTTACGAAGCCTATAGAAGCAGAAGCAGTTATAATATTTCCAGTAGTAGTAGTGTGGTCTTGTCATGGCTCCAGAAAAAAAACAAAAAAACTCTAAGGCAAACTTGTATAAATCAAAGGTTTGACTAGTCAAATATACCAGATGTTACAGCAGGAGCTGTTTAGAAGACTCTGAAGAGTGTAGCAAAACTGGTGCTGTTAATAATATAATTGGTAGAGGTAGAAAACCGAATGTCTCTAAAAGTAACATAGAGTATCTCAGGGCATGTTTCTATGCGATACACAACTGTCGAGCTTTGGCCTTGTTGTAAATCCAGACGTGAACGTCACATTGAAAACAGTAAGAAACAAGTTAGCACGCAGTGTTCTCCATGAGCATAATGCTGATCAAAAACTGCTGCTAAGAAAAGCAAACCAAACCAAAAGGTTGAAATGAGTATTGGACCATAAACAATGGAATTAGCAAAGCTGGATACATGTGTACTTTTTACAGATAAATCCAACTTCAAATTGCTTGGCATCAATCACCAATTTTTGTTCGACGACGAAGAGGGGAAATGTACCATAGTCAATATATAATATCTACAGAATTGATGGCACCTTGACTGTTGGCATGTACAGGCTTACATTTACACGACTCATCAGGCAAGGTTTCATCTTTCAACAAGACAATAATCCCAAGGATGCAGCAAATGTGGTGAAACGATGTCTAGACGGCAAAGAGATTGATAGATCACTCGCATCCATGACTAGGCCTGCACAAAGTCATGATATAAACATGATTAAAGCTTAATGGGCTTATGTAAATGCTGAGAAGGTTAAAAGGCGACGAAACAACGAGGGGAGTAATACAACTTTTGAAACAATATTCCACTGTGGTACATTGATAATCTGTTATTGTTCTATATAAAATGAAGGGCTCACAAACAAGATACTAATGTTTTGTACAACTTATTCATTTTCCTCTTGAATTTTCTGTGCAAATATTTTGTAGCATTAAGAAATTCACATCTAGTTACCGTTAATCATTGTTTGTGACTCAAGAATATGTATCATTCATTTGTTTCTATAACTATTATCATTGTTGTATATATATATATATATATATATATATATACACATAGAGTGCTGAAAATTGTACGTGTGTGTGTTTTTAGACAAGGCTGTACGAGAGCAATTTAAATTTCATCAATAGCACTCATCACCAACTGTTAAGCTACTCTTGTATGAACGAATGGTGTAATTTGCTCATCAATCGTATACCTCATCTACTGACCCAAAGTGCAGAGCGTGGTTTTATGGCAACAGGACGCCAATAAGAACTCTCGGATTCACAGTCCAGGCACGCGAACCCTTACACCAAACCCTTCCTTATTTTGTTTTAAAATTAATAAGTTTCAATTAAAAGAATGATGCTTAAATTTATGAACAATTTGTACTATGAAACTGTTGTCATTGAATTATACGAATATATATTTTGAAATTAATTTTAATTAGAGTATTAACATATATATTGATAAATAGTACTAATACCACTAACAAACTATTTTCATTGATTAGTTTGTTTGTTTTTGAATTTCGCGCAAAGCTACACGAAGGCTATCTGCACTAACCATCCCTAATTTAGCAGTGTAAGACTAGAAGGAAGGCAGCTAGTCATTACCACCCACCGCCAACTCGTGGGCTACTCTTTCACCAACGAATAATGGGCTTGACTGTTACATTATAACGCCCCCACGACTGAAAGGGCGAGCTTGGGACGGGGAGTCCAACGCGCGACCCTCAGATTAGGAGTCGAGCGCCCAAACCACCTGGTCATTGATTTGTGTAATGTTTGCATTGAAGTTTCGCACAAAGCTATACAAAAGACATTTTTGAATAACCGACTCAGATTTTTAACTAGTCAAGAGCACTCACCACGAACTGTTTGACTGCTCTTTTCTGACCGGCTACCAGTGGCTAAGCGGTAAGTCGGAAAGCCTATAAACTGGGTTTCGATACCCATGTTGGGCACATCAGAGACGGCCCACTGTGTAGCTTGTGATTAACAACAAATAAACAAACTTTTCTGGCCGAATAGTGTGATTTGGCCGTCACTCTCATCGGACAGATACGATCAGTTGGGCAGAACATATTTTAGTGGCAACGAGATCTGAATCACGAATTCTTGGCTTCACATTCTATTTTGGTTTAAAATAATTTAGTCTTAGTTAGTATGTGAAGAAAGATAAGTTATTACTATTAAACTGTCATCATTGGCTTTTATTTCGTTTTAAAACTAATTTCATTTAAACTAGAATATTAATATATATAATTATATATTATTGATTAGTGCTACATAATTTAGTTTTAGATGCAAAATCAGGGCAGGTACGTTTAGAAAGTATTAAGTATGGAGAAAACAAGAAAAATTATGCAGTGAAAGATATTTTAAGGGGATTTTTGCTTACAATATTTATTTACTGTTTTGTTTCTCCTTATGACATACACTTGGAAAGCTGGGTTTTCAGCTTAATGGTGGAGCATTAAAATGAATGTTTTCCCACAATTGACTGGCTAAAAATGTACATGTATGTGTTCCCTGTATACCAAATCCAGAGCGAGGCTATAAAGAGCACGTGGTCTGGCGCGCACAGCCTGGTATTCGATCAACTGCTGCGATCCGAAGTAGTTCAACGTACGCCGCAGTAAAGTCCACTCTAGACAGGCGTTACACAGGTATTCTCCAACCACCTGCTCTCTTAAAGGTAAGAGTTCGTTATATTTTATATCTTCTTTATTTCAACGGTGCTTTTAATTTATGTAGCTATGTGTGTGCTCTGGTATCCACAATTATATACCACTTACAATATTAAGAACAATGTACACAAAATAAACCCGTTATACTTAGTAACATACCGACCGACCATTCGTAGGAAATATGTCGTTTGCTTCGATCCAGTTAGATAAACCTTAGTTAGAGCTTTGTTGACAATTAATGTTTGCCCTTAACGGTATCAAACTAGAAAATATATAATATTTAGCATATATATATATAATTTATATATCATTAATTAACAAAAAGCTAACACTTGGCACTATACTGACCGATCATAATATCTGAAGATTAATATTAAAATCATATTCAACAATGATATTATTTAAAGCGTAATGCTCAAAATTATTGGGTCATTTATAACCTTGTGGTTAGCGTGGGACGGGTTGTCGAAACGAGGATCTATGACTCTCGTCGCGTTCCCTTAAAACGGAGATTAGAATATCCCAAAAGTTGGCGGTGGGCGCTGTTGACTAACAGCCTTCCTTTTATTTTAGCAATTAAAATAAGTTATAATTACGCAGATATCCTTTATGTAGCTTTGCACGAATATCCGAATCAATCAATCAGAAATTACTTTAACTAGAAATAATATCAGATAACACTCGAAACGATTTTCAACAGAGATAATATCAGATAATACTCGAAACGATTTTCAACAGAGATACTATCTGAATATTTAATCCTGTTCGAGAGCAATCTTAGCTTTTCTTAAATCTGGCTTAGTCGCTCAGGAATAAAGACTCGGTTAACATACAACTAAAACTCTTTTGTTACATTTTACAACCGCCTTTTACAGGCCGAGCTCCCCAGTGGCTCAGCAGTAAGTCAGCAGGCTTACAAGTCTAAAAATCGGGTTTCGATACCCTTAGTGAGTAGAGCACATACAGCACAGTGTGTAGCTTTGCGCTTAACAACTTCTCACGTCTAAGTAAAAGTTTTTTATGAAAATTCTAAATAATACAAGATGATAGAAGAAGAGAAAAATGACTTAGTCGTTAGGAAAATTATTAGTAGAGAAAATAAAAATCACCAGTTAAGGTCATTTAAAATAAAATTCGAAAGCATTGTAATCAGTGTTATATTCATAAAGAAAAATGTACCAATATTCTGTGTTAGCTAGCAGCAGGAATACTTTTCGACTGTTAAATACATAAAAAATTAGCTAAGCCACACATATATTTGTGAGGCTAATCTTGAAGCGTATCTAGGTGACAATCAAATGATTGCATTCCTTTAAATTGTACTAAGTAATTTATCTATCTAACGATTACATTCCAGATTTACTAATTTTAACATTTAAAGGAAAGAAAGAAAACCCAGCAACAAATACGTTGAATTTATTTTAAACAAACCTTTAAGATAATAAGGCCAAAAACAAAACAAAAATAAAGTTACACAAAAACAAAGCAGTCAAGTCAAACTAGGGTACAAACTACAAAGTGGAATGGTAATATTTACCTTGATACGAGAGTTATCTATGGTATTAGAGCCTACACAATCACAGGGATAAATCGTCTATAATGTATGTATCCACAAGCCTCACATGAGAAACAACAAACGTCAAGAGCAAATTGAGGGTGTTTAAGTCTATAAAGTTTCAAACATCTAAAACTACCATTCACCATTTGCAGCTAGTTGTGGGAGGTTAAAGTTGCTTAAACTACTGGAATACCAACTTCACGATATAAGTTTTGTTTTATCACCTCTATTGGCATTGTTCTAATACCCAGTTTTATTTATTTATTTATCTTATTTTGCTTTATTTCATTCAGAGAAATTATCTCCTGACAACTGGATACAGATCATGAGTTTTGGATGTGGTCTTTTTGGGCTTGAGACCCCATATTTGCTTTTAATATGATATCCTTATATATAACGTTTGTGAATAGATGGTAATTCTAATTGTTTCGTTTGTCATTTTCCACAGATACCTCTATTACTAAAGGTACTTTTTATCCTTTCCACACGGGCCTGGCGTATCCTTGTGATTAGTGCTCAGTTTGTGAATGCGAGGGTCCAAAAACGCGCTCCATTTTCGGGACCGTAGGTGTGCTGTAAGAATTACAGTCAAATTTCACTATGCCACATTGGACTTTATATCCTAGTTATATTTACATTCATAGTTTTATTTCCAAGTTTGATACTTTTTGTTTTTGGCTTTGTGTCTGAAAAATGTATTTATTTGTATAGGTTTTTGTGTGTGTGTGTGTGTTTAAATTGTTGTACAGTGAACATATACTCAAACAATTTCTGTATATAATCCAGTATCAATATCACTACATAAGTAAACCTATAAAATTATAGAATTCAACCACGTAAATGTTTTAGTTTTGTATAAAAGATCATATGAATATGATGATAAATATATTACTTTGTACATGTAACTCAGGACTGCCCACGATTAATCTCACTCTCAACGACAAGCTATGAATGAAAATAAAATCATAATTTTGTATCATTCATCAATTAAAAAAAAAACAGAATGACCCATGTTTTATAATAATTATGTGAAATTTGTGAAATGAGACATGATAAGTGATATGACTTGTTTACAGATGCTGTTATCATGGTGAGCATAGCCTTGACAGCACTAGTGACGGCAAGTACATGCCTGCTAATAGTGTGGCAAGGTGAGATTGTAAATTACTATTTTATATTATTAATCTCATAAATAGCTATTAAAATACTGTTTTTTCAAGAGAATAACCTAAAGAATGGATATTTTAATTACGTGTTTTCAACATTTCAAAACATCTTGAATGACATCAACGAGACAATACTAGCTTAAAAAAGAAAAAAAAATCACGAATATTATTTGTATGCTCGGCCTTAATTACTTAAAACTAGTTTTCAAGAATAGATAAGAAAGAATACTGTATCTTTCTCATGTTTATTACTTCTCAGAAACCCCAAATCATTTATCAACACTTGCATTTAGCTTATACACAGGATATGCTTGAACGTAAATCTATCTATCTATATGTAGATATATTGATATGAATGTTCAAAATATTTCAAAAACTCTTTATTTCTACTAACATAAAACAAATAAATATGAACTCTCATACATAAAATCATGATTACAAGTGATTTTATCTTCCAATATACCCTTCAGTTTCCAAAGCAAGATACTTTGTTGATAAAGCCTTCATAAGAATAAAGTACTTCTTTTGAAGCCCAAGGCAAAATTTAAATCAACTCACTAATGAAAGAAAAAAGATATTAACAAAAAAGGAACAGTAAGTAGATTTCATGCAGCTTGATTAATTAAAGTGTTTTGCTTACATGAAAGTTGGGCCGGACGTACCCTAATAGCTAAAGTGTTCCGACTTTGCATTAGAATGTTAACTGTACGCGTCCCGTAGCCGTTAAAACGCGCTACGTACCATGGGACTACGAGTGTACTATAAAGGAGAAGATCAAATTTCACAATTCACCCAGAAAAAAAAGGAAGCTTATGATTCGGCGGAAAGTGCTGTCAACTAACTGCATTTTCTCTAGTCTATCAGCTCAAAATTTGGAACGGCTATGCGCAGATAGCCCTTGTGTAGCTTTGAGCAAAACTTCTAAAGAAATAAATTTACAAAAGTTGTTTCGAAAGGTATTTCTACTCCACCTTGGGCATAAAGGATTCGTTAACGTAATCACAGAATCGTAAATGTTTGTGTTTGGACTTCAAAGTTTTCTTGAACAGAATGATAAGTATTTATAGAATTCATAGCAACGTAAATGTTATTATAATTCGACTGGAATCTCTTTCTGAAAGAGTACGCTGTCATTTTTTTTTAAACTGGTGGTTCTTGTTCCTTTAGCGCAAAGCTACACACTTGACTGTCAGTGCTCTGTCCACCGTGAGGAATCGAATTCTAAATTCTACTACTGTAAAACTTTAAACTTACCGATGACCGACCGAGAGATTATGTGTCCTTATTAGGCCGATTATTTTATTGTATCTTATTATGGTGATATTTTTACAGATTATGTTCTCATTATTTTTTTCAGGAAGAGTTAAGATAAAGCAAAAAATAGACGTGGTATAAAATGGTTCTGAGAAAAAGAGAGTTATATTCAAATTGATTTGTAGTATTTACCTCTGTTATTTTATGATAATTCTTCCGTCATCCTACCCCCCTAGTGGCACAGCGGTATGTTTGCGGACTTACAACGCTAGAATCCGGGTTTCGATACCCGTGGTGGGGGCAGAC